GGAGCTGGATGCGTGAGGGAGAACCAGAGCGGACAGTGTGTCGTTTCCTGCGACGCAAATAGATCCACTTCCGCCTGGATATAAACTGCTCTTAGAGAGAGGAGCTTCCCCTGAGCCCAAAAAGGATCTGGCGCGCCAGCTTGTACAAGGGGCGCGAACGCAGACCCCCCTGCCGATTGATGTAGGAGACAACCGATGTGTTGTCTGTGCGGACAAGCACATGATGCCCCCTTAGGTCTGGAAGGAAGTGTGTCAGAGCTCGAAACCTTACGTCACCCCGCTCGTGACGTCTCGCTACTCCATTGGACTGATTTGACACGTGCTTCAGAACGCGGTCACGCAGGGGCGTTCCCAAAGCGATTTCGACGCAGCTCGAGTTCCTGAAGAGGAACCTTTATTTTTAAGATTGTATGTGTTTATTTGTAATACTGGAAAGAAAATGCTATATGAGAAAGGAAAATCAAGTGATGACATGAATTGGAAAGCAAATGAAGACTTTAAATGAAGTCTCATGATGATCTCAGATATGTCTCTAGAGATCTCAACAAGTCTACCATCAGAAGTCAAATCAAAGTCATCTGTGTCAAAATTTATAACAAGCACTAATTTTATAAAAAATATCAATGCTCTCTCTTAATTGTTTAGGAGAAATGAAAATAGACATAAATGAGTTAGCAGTTGCCATACAGTAAGAATATCAAGCTTTAAAATAAATGTGAATAGCCGCTCAGATCATTTGTCCATGGGATAATTTGATGGGAATGCTTGTGTTTGACTTTTGATCACAGGCGTCTTTTATATCTAAGATGTTGAGACATAAAATAGACAAATGTGAGATTACTGAGTTCTTTTTTTCTCAGCCAGAGACACTAAAAGTCTCTCTTTGCTCACCATTCCATCCTTTTGCTGTGTAGGAAAAAACAATTGCGATATTAAAGGGATCTCATTTAGATTTTTTCTTTCCCATGGGTATCTAGCATCCAGTCGGTGAGATTGCTTTTACCACAAGAAAGGCTTTGCAGAAACTGAGGTTCTGAGACCTAGATGCGGACGTGTTTTAATGCTGGTGGCATGATGAATGAGTTTTGAGATCAAGGGCTGGTTTACACGCACTATTTGACTGCGTCTTGGCTGCCGTTCCTTTATCGTGATGAATTGGATGTAGGTGGGGGAGGCCAAGATGCACTTATGTTGTTATGCATGTATGCGGAGAAAGACAAATTAAATGCATGTTTTCAAGTTGAGTCTTTTTGTACTTAAAGCGTGACTCATGAGGGTGACTCCAGCCGTTATGCAGTGAGAGTTAATTAAAACTTTGAGAATTTGCATGCGAACCCTATTGGGTTGTACAGTTGCTCCTTGTGTCCTTGCGTACCTTTGCATAACTTCATGTGATCTTGCCCAAGGTGTTTTGTGTAGCTGGTAATATTGCAGAGACTAAATTGATTTACCCGTCTCTCTTTTTCTAATTAGACTGTTCTGGCCTTCCCAAGTGATGTGTGGACAATTTTAAGAGCTAGAATGCTTTACATTAGCCTTAAAAGGGTGTTCAGGGTGGTCAGTGGGATTTTTAACATGTCAAAACTACCCAGAACATCCTAGCAACCACATAGCAACATGCTAAAAACACTCAGATCACCTTAGCGACCATATAGAAAAGCCCTGGCAACAACCTACAGTATTTCGGTGGTGAGTTTTTCATAGTGATGGGTCATAACCGATTACATGTAATCTGTATTACGTAATCAGATTCCAAAATGTAAGTACTTGTAATTAGATTATATTACATTTTAAAATACTCGTGATCAGACTACAGTTACTGTTTTATTGATTACATAATTACATATTTTTCACATGGTCTTGCAGGTAAACAGGTGTAATATTTAATATTTTTATTAAGCATTTATGTTGATTGTTATCATTTTAAAAAGGTTTACTTTCATTTGACATTTTTATGATTTAATTAATTATAAGCTTTTCATTAAACTCACAAACTCCAGTTTGGGAAACGTTGATGTAATATAATGTTTAATGGACTTAATAACAACAAATATAATATATATTTCTTTCTCTTTGTATATCAATCTTATATAAATTATTATTAATTATATCAATATGGTACACAATTATCCTATGTATATCAATATGATAAACAAGTTAGGTCAGAAGTAATCTAAAATTAATCAAAAAGTAATCTGATTATATTACCTGAAATGTGTAATGTAATGGATTACGTTACTAATTTGTGTCATGTAATTTGAAATCAGTAACGGATTACAATTTGTAAGTAATTAAACCAGCACTGCTTTTTCAGTGACAAGCACCTCAGTTGCTTTGAAAATGTACAAATCTAGTTAAGGTAATTGTTCTAATGTCTTCTTATTTTTCATATGAGCAAATAACCTTCATTGCCTTACAATGTGAAATGGGTCAAGAGAATGTCTCTCTCTCTCTCTCTCTCTCTCTCTCTCTCTCTTCTGTATTGATGTGATACTTGTGTCTCTATTTTTCATCTGTAGCTTATCTTGCTTGACACTGTAGTGTTATTTATACAAAGATTTTCCATGTTCTTTTTTTATAGTATGTTTTGATTTCATACAGTGAACCATGAGCATAGAGAACAGGATTCTTTTAAGTCAACAGTCTGGTTTCTCTACCTGTTTATTGGAGCCAATGTGCAATTATGGTTGTTAAAGAAACCTTAAGGGGAATGTTTTTGCTCCCTTATTTGAATAGTTATTCTTGCCTATTGACTTATTTTGGTTGTGTCTAGATAAAGGTATATATTTGCTTTCATTTTTAATTAAAGTACATGAACTAGGAAAATCAATTGACATCGGCATATTTTAAGAATCCCGAATACTGTTCTAGAGCAACAATTTGCATAGTAATCACATTAATGGAAAATGACGAGAAGGTAAATACAATTCTGACTTGAAGCAACAAAAATAGATTCATACTTTCCTCCTACATACAAGATTTTATTCAGTAAACACTGGCTATGTAATTTGATAACCTACTTTGTGCAAACTGTGCAGCGGGACTAATTAAGTATGTACTAATCCTTCTAAGTAAGTTATCATCAGTTTTTGACTAAATGCAAAGGACTAGGATTCAGCATTGACCGAATCATGGCTTATCCCTTCTTTCTCTTTGTGTTTAATGCAGGATCCCTGGTGAGATCCCGTTGGCTGATGATCCCCCTGCTCGTGCAGGCCTGGCTCTTGGCTTCCCAAGGCAGAGTCCGAGAGAAACCGTGTCCCCGAAGCTGCCGCTGCGATGGCAAAATAGTGTATTGTGAGTCAAATGCCTTCCGTGATGTGCCAAAGAATGTTTCCGTGGGATGCCAGGGCCTCTCTCTGCGGTACAACAGCTTGGTGAACCTCAGGGCTGGTCAGTTTGCCAGCCTCAGTCAGTTGGTCTGGCTGTACCTAGACCACAACTACATCAATGCAGTAGACAAACAAGCCTTTCAGGGTGTTAGAAGACTAAAGGAGTTGATCCTCAGCTCCAACAAGATCACACATTTGGAAAACAGCACATTCCATTCGATCCCCAACCTACGCAATCTGGACCTCTCTTACAACAAACTTCAAGTCCTGCAGCCGAATCAGTTCCAGGGCTTGCGCAAACTGTTGAGTCTCCACATCAGATCGAATTCCCTCAAGACGGTTCCCATGCGAGTGTTTCAGGATTGTCGAAACCTAGAGTTCCTTGATTTGGGTTACAATCGACTGCGAAGTCTTACCCGTAACGCATTTGCAGGACTTCTCAAACTGACTGAGTTACACTTGGAGCACAACCAATTCTCAAAGATCAATTTTTCTCATTTCCCAAGGCTGAACAACCTTCGCGCTTTGTATCTGCAGTGGAATCGGATAAAGTCAATAACCCAGGGAATTACATGGACCTGGACCTCTTTGCAAAAGCTGGATCTTTCTGGAAATGACCTGCAGGTGTTGAATTCAAGCATCTTCCAGTGTCTCCCTAACTTGCAGACTCTTAATCTGGACTCCAATAAGCTAAGCAACGTGTCTCAAGAGGCCATATCAGCTTGGATCTCTCTTACTACCATCAGTCTTGCAGGTAACATTTGGGAATGCCGCCCCAGCTTATGTCCCCTTGTAGCTTGGCTGAGGAACTTCAAGGGGAACAAGGAGACCACGATGATTTGTGCTGGACCAAAGGAGGTTCAGGGTGAGAAAGTCATTGAGGCTGTTGACACACATGGAATCTGTAAGACGACCCCGACCTCTAACCAGCCAATCTCCTCAACTGTAAGCTCCCCATCCAAGCCTAAACGTTTTCCCCTGCCCACCATGTTCAGGGTGAATGAGAAAATAACACGCAACAACCCTGTTGTGCCTTCCCCAACGGCTGCATCCCCACCTGTCCCTGAGCAGGACTTCGAACATGTTTCGTTCCACAAGATAATTGGCGGCAGCGTCGCCCTCTTCCTATCCGTGGCCATGATTTTGCTAGTGATCTACGTTTCCTGGAAGCGTTATCCCAGCAGCATGAAGCAACTGCAGCAGCATTCCATGGTGAGAAAACGCCGGAAAAAGGCACGGGAGACAGAGCGCACCCTCAGCTCTCCGCTTCAGGAATATTATGTGGACTACAAACCCACAAACTCTGAAACCATGGACGTATTGGTCAATGGGACAGGACCCTGTACCTACACCATCTCCGGCTCCCGAGAATGTGAGGTATGATCCGTCGCCCTCCTAAAATCCATTACCACTGCGGGGAACAAGAGGTAAATGTCCAGTCGATGTGAGGCGAAAAAATTGTGATGTCTCCCCCCCCTTTTCCGCTGCTAGCTGTTCCCCTCTAATGGGTAGGAAACATGGGTCAGTGCATGGCAACTTGAGTCATATGTTCTCAGGCTTGTAATCAAAGTTTTGTTTCCTCCTTTTACCTCAGGTATAGTAAGATAAAACATACTCAAGCCATAAACCTTGTTATATATCAAACAGCAGCACCAGTTTGGGGATTTTTACTCTCTGCTGGCTTAAAGCAAAACATTGAGCACTGCTTTTAAAATACACCACTGATTGGCTACAAAAAAATTAGTGTAGCTTCAAATACTGGGTCAAGTCTCTGTGCATTGCTCCTTTCCTATCCTCTGTGTGTTTTTGCATTATTATCAACATGCAACACGCCAGGCAAATGGCTGTTGAGTCAAATGAATTGCGGCGGCCTGCTTGTTTAAAGGAAAGTGACCGAAAAAAAGACATTGATGAAATGTGAGAGCTAATATATTGGTCTGGTTCCAAGATAAATATTTGCCTCATCTTGGATTTAAGGTAGCAGTGACTGGATTATTGAGGGGTTGGAGAGATTTCCCTTAATCATGCACTTTGTCAGACAAATCACCAATTCAGGACGTAATTAAAGGTACACATTGCTGATCCTTGTACGTAATCCCGCCACATGGCTACTCTTGGCTGCTAGCAATTGCATCCTATAATTTATGCAGTGTCATAGTTTGTCCCTATGAAATAAGATAAGGCCCATGTCCAGACATAGAGGAGCTTGAGAAAATAAGCGTAAATCCTTTTGCCACAAAGCAGCTACTCGGGGGAGTCAAAGTACACATACAATACAAATTACATTTCTATTCAGGCTGTAGAACAGCAATCTTCATAGTAGAAATATATTCAGTGTTCACAGGTATAATTATTTAGCAAAGGTCATCTTGAGTATCGTCTCCATCACATTGCCGGAAGTGTTAGAACAAGTGTGAGATCGATAGGGAGTCTAACTTACAGGACAGCCATCATTTTGTTCTGTTTTGTTGATTCAGTGGATTGTAGGTAAATCCACATGGCAGTTATATTCCCATTGTAAGTAATGAGCAAGCCCAAGGGATGCATTTCAACAGCTTTAAAAAATGCTTTCAGCTTTGCACAGTAAGTAATGACAGGAAGTATGTCCCGTGAAACAAGGTTAGATTAAATAATTATTGAGGTGAATAAATGAAATTCGCAAATGGATAGAATTTACAAGTGTTTGACTAAGAGGCTTAGCAAATTGTTTGGAAGTTCTATGGCGATTGTCTTTGCTTTCGCACCAGTAAAAGGTAATATTCCATTTTAGTGGTTAATCTGCATTGTGAACAAGGTGCTGTGCTTTTCTGCTTGTGTACTGTTGCCGTGTTGACTCATTTGCTTTATGGTCTTCCTGTTGTTAGCATCCATCATGTCCTTTGCACCCTTTGTTGCTCCTGTTGTGGTGTCTTTGTCTTTTGACAATTACAATTTGTTTCAGTAAATGTAGAACTGAACCCTGCATTTTATCAAGTAACCCTTACCGCTAATGTGCAACACAGTGATATTGGGTAATATGTGTGTATGACCTTATGTGAAACATGTGTTTTCCCTGTTGCTATGAACGCAAAAGTGAAAGCATATCATTTAATGTACAGTATAATGTATTCTACATAATGGTAGGATATGTTTTGGTTGATTTTACTGTGCAGCTCAGGAGGAGTGTACCGGAAGTGTAGCTGCAAGTAAAGATAAGTACTAACTCTGTTCTTTCTGGTGCTAGCGTAGCATGCTAAACAACAGAGAAGCAATACAGGCTTTTATGAGGCATCAAAGTGAACTTCCCACCTATAGTTTAAAATAAGATCTATTCACAGTGACAGACACACAAATACTTCCTTTTGAGTAAATCTGACTGAATCCTGGCGATTTTAGCACATTATAGCTACAGTTTAAGATTCAATATAATTGGGATGTAAATTTGTTCCCCCTCAATTTTTAGTATTTGACTGCGTCCTTGTTTTGTCAGAATATATCTTTAACTACGAGGTTTTATAGTCTGCCTGACTCTCCATCTCTCTTTTTAATCGTACAGTTGCTCTCCTGCTTGAGTTAGATGAGTCCCTGGCAGCTTTTTGTTGACAAGGCAGAACCACAGGAAGTCCAGGCAGTGGGCCATTACTGAAGCCCCTTGATACTGTGAGCAGTCAGGCTGGCCATATTTACAGCAAGAAGGACAGTGATTCTATCTCAGAAAATTGGAAATGTCAAAGAGCGAGATCAGAGACATAAAGCTACAGCTTTTGCTAAAGCAATTTTTATTGAACGTGATAACCTGTGACCTCCTGTGACCATGGTCAGTGGCATTGCTCATACGCACATATCTGCAGAAGAGAAGAGGTATGTAATAACACTGGGCTGATATGTAGTGTGATTGTGGACTGTACTGTCTTCTACACTCACAACAATTGAATGGATGGAAAATAACAGATGAAGGCTCTTGTTTCGCTTTGAAATGGATGCTTTGCATAGTCAATATTTTGAAATATGAGTTTTCACGTCTTTTATAAATTGGCTTGTATTTCAGTTGTAGTTTAGCAGAAACGAGGAGCTTTACAGCCCCTGGTCAGTGCGATCTCACTTTATGTTCCACTAAAGAAAGAAAGACACAGAATTTATACAACATCAGAGTGAGCAAATGATGACAGAATGTTCATTTTCGGGTGCAGTTTCTTTGCAGAAATGCTGTGAAATTCCTTTGACACTTTTGTTAATGTAAGTTTCATAGGTAACTAACTAGGAGCAGCTTCCGCTAGGAACTCTTTGACCAGATCAAAACAAATGTGAGGATGAAGAAATAGTTTGATTCTACACTCTTCCTATCTGTCAATGCCGATGTATTAATGAGCGATTCGTATGTAACGCCGCTGTGAAGTCCCTGCTTAATCATTTTGAACGTGTTTTGGCATTTCTCCAGAAGCAGAGCTACTGTAAAAAGCCAGTGGGCTTTGGCAGCATTGTTTCAGCGTATTAAAATGAACAACAGCTTCCCTGAAACTACAAATATCCTCTTTAGCAGAACAGGGTCCTCCCAGAGTTCTCTGTTGGGTCAGCTCCTTTTGCTCCAAATGGCGAAGCCTTCGTCCTTGAGTTCTGGACGGCTTCCCAGTGTTTCTGGCCCAAGCAGCGGTGCTTCACCTTTTCCACCGCAACTGTACCGGGCAACCCAACCTTACATGGATGTTTTATACAAACACAGAGCTGGGATTTAGAGATTAATGTGTGTGTTTGTATCGTTGTGGTTGTACATCTCTGTTTCAAGGACTTTATGAATATTCAGTCTGTATATGATTCTGCAGGGATTTCAGGCAACAAAACAGTTCTGTTCCAAGACTTACCTAGCAAGCTTCCTAGAGAGCATGTGTGTGTGTGTGTGTGTGTGTGTGTGTGTGTGTGTACACTACCGATACACTCAAAAGTTTAGAATAATTAAGTTTCTTATGCTCACCAAAGCTGCATTTATTTGATCAAATATACAGAAAAAAACTGTAATATTGTGAAATATTATTACAATTTAAAGTAACTGATTTCTATTTGAATATATTTTAAAATGTAATTTATTCCTGTGATGCAAAGCTGAATTTTCAGCATCATTACTCCAGTCTTCAGTGTCACATGATCATTCCTAAATCATTCTAATATGCTGATTTTTTGTTATTATTATTTGTTGTTATTATCAATGTTGAAAACAGTTCAACAAAAACAATTGTGGAAACTGAGATACTTACTTTTCAGGATTCTTTGATGAATAGAATGTTCAAAAGAACAGCATTTATTTGACATACAAATCATTTGTAACATCATACAATTCTTTGTCAATTTTGACCAATTTAATGCATCATTGGTAAATAAAATTATAATTTTTTTACACTACTGTTCAAGAGGTGTGTGTGTGTGTGTGTGTGTGTGTGTGTGTGTGCGTGTTTATGTGGTTTATGAGGACACAAATTTGTATAATAACATGGGTATGACA